CGTGCTTGGCGTTTCGGCGACCGTCATCGAGGTGGCGATGGACTCTTCGCCGTGCTCGGTGCTACGGCAGCCGTCGTCTCCCTTCGCCGCGCCTGTGTTGGCGGTGCTGTCGATGGGAACGTTGTGGTTGGCGTCACTTTGGTTGTCGTCTCCCTCCGTCGCGCTTGCGCTGGTGGTGGCGTCGGCAGGCGTCGGCGTGTGTGTTGCGCTCGACGGTGTGGCGGTTGTCACTTCCCGTACTCTCGTCACCTGCAGTACGCTAGCCGGTGCTATCCCTGGTGCAGATTCTTCCTCTGTTGGCGGCAGCGGTCGGCTCGTCGTCAATATTCTCCTCCAAGCCGACGCCTTTAGGATTCTTGTGAATGGGTGTTTGTTCTGCCCAGAGTCTTGTGGTTCCACATTGCAGGTTGCCCTTTTCTTAGCCATCCCCGCCCTCATAGCAAGACATAAGTCAATTGGCAGCCTCTCAAAAGCTTCTTTGTTGATGGTTGGCTGGTCTACGTTTTGGCCCTCTCTTTTGTTTTTCTAGAAGCAGAAACCGCGCATGGTTTGTCATTCAGGTTGAGCTCGGACCCCTGCCCAATTTTGATTGTCAGGGTTGTTGTTAGAGTTCCTCAGATTCAATGACGAATCCCGTGGAGATGCTTCGCTGAGTGAGATAATGCTCACACCAAAATCTACGGCTCAGCAACGAACCTCGATCTTGTGCCATTTCCGTGGAGGCAACCGAAGGGGATCAACGGTTTGTCAAGCGGTGTGCACTTCAACTGAGGCCCAAGGTAGCAGTCGTCGCGGTTTTAAGACATCGTGGCTCTGTTAGTCGTCACGGCAGCACCGCAGCTCTCTGTCGACTTTTTTTTCTGCTGTTTGGTCACATCTGAAAGGCTTCCGTAGCTCGGTTAACCCTCTTTCTTCAGGGTTGTCTATTATGCTTACAGTTTCTATCCTATGCTGTGTGCTAGGGTTTATCCCCTAATATCTGTACTTGCTTAATAAAGTTGTTTGTGTTTAAAAAAAAAAAAGGAGGCGGACGAACTGCGCCAAGCGGAGGCGTCGAACTCGGTTTTAATAATTGAAGGACCCTTATTATATCTGGTTCTGTCTTTTGCGGGATGCGAATCAAACTCTATCCATGTCAGCTTGTGTGTTTCTGTTGCACCTGCACTCCTCCAGACGGTTTCACATGGCCTGCTTACTCACGGGCCACGGTGACTTTGCACCAAGATGCATGTGCACAACGCGTCCCTCTACTGGCCCAGTTACCCGTCATGCTAAACTGCGTGCTACTACAGGCCCTTGTGCGGCTAGCAAGCTCTTCTAGAGACAACGGTATGTTTGGTTTGTTAACCAAAGCCAAAATTTCCACAATGCCAAAAAAATTAGTTATGTGTTTTGTTTGTAGCAAAAAATTAATGTGTCATTGCCAAATTATTTCACTTAGTTGAATGCCAAATGCAACTTTGGTAGCAAAGCAAGTGAATACCTAGCCCCCCCCCCCCCCCTTTTTTTTTAAAAAAAAAGGCAATAATGGCCTAATCTTGTCATTGGCAAAGTAAGGAATGGCTATGAACCAAACAACAAACATGCTCTTAGAGCCGCCATTGTTCAGCTATAACCATCTGAATATACAAACAAAATACAAATCGAACATATATATCCAAGGTTTTCTTACTGACCTTGCTAGTATTAATAGGCCCCGTCTGTTCTCTCTAATTAGCTAGGGGGTATTTCCAGCGCACGCAAAACAAGAAAATTTATTAGATTAATTAAGTATTAACTATTACTGCCTTCATATTTTAATATCCATATTTTAATGTATGACGTCGTTGATTTTTTGTCCAACGTTTGACCATTCGTCTTATTCAAAAAAAAATTGTGTAATTATCATTTATTTTATTGTGACTTGATTCATCATCCAATGTTCTTTAAGCATGACATAAATATTTTCATATTTGCACCAAAATTTTGAATAAAACGAATGGTCAAACGTTGGTCGAAAAGTCAACGGCGTCATACATTAAAATATGGAGGGAGTATAAAATTTAAAAAATAATTTATTTGAATTTTTGATAACTTCTACATAGAAACATTTTGCTGGTGACATATACTATTTAACAGTTTAAAAAACGTGCTAATGAATAACAAGAAAGTTGAAGTTTAGGGTTGAGAAAAAGAACCGGACCTAGGCTTTTTCCACGCGCACGCTTTTCAAACTGCTAAACGGTATGTTTTTTGCAAAAAAAAGTTTATACAAAAGTTGTTCAAAAAATCAAATTGATCTATTTTTTTAAAAAAATTAGCTAATACTTAATTAATTATATGTTAATGGATTGCTCCGTTTGCTCCTAACCACAATTAACGAACACAGCCCTAAGATATTTTACAATCCTTGATTCATTTTGGAGTCAAGAAACCAACTTTGATTTTACAGCCACAAACTTTTGGGATCATTGACATTATCTACCCCTAGGATCAAAAAGTACCAAACACCAATCCATTGGTATCAGATTTTGATGATATCAAACTATGGCAGGTTTTCTATGAATATACCAAATTTGATAGCTAAAGTTGTATTCGAATTGCTAATAAATTGAGCTTGCGTCGCAGTATATGGAAGCGTAGAAGACCAAAGCTGCCGGTCGGTCATGTGGTGCTATAGTCCGCTTCTAGATTGTCTTGGGGCCATTCAATGATTCAAACAGATGTGCCAACCGTGCAAAGGGCTTGTACCACTGTCACAGTGTCACACTGTTCGTACGTCACTCACTTGATGTCATACTCCGACAGATTCAATGTCCTCAGTAAAAAAATTCAAGAACGATCCTTGCTTTCAATCGAGGAATCATGATGTGATCCCATATATTGTTTCGCGAAATGACATATTTGTAAACGAAAAATAATTTATAAATAAAACTTTTATATATGTGTTCTTGTGATCTAAAAGAAAAGACTGAAAAAATAAACTTCGATTAAAAAAAATCCTAAAATCTACTCCAAATATAAGGTTAAAAATTCAAATTTTAGCTGATAAACATAAGCATAAGAAAAAAAATAAAGATGAGACCGATGCATGTGCTGCAAACCGTATCTTAGTGAAGTTCTCTCTAGTAAGTTTATTTTTTTGCTTCTCATATTTATTCAAAAACAAGTTTATTTTTTGAGTGATTGTTCGTTCAGAGTTTGTAAAAGTAATGCATAAATACATTAAAAGTAGATGAAGAGAAAAATAATTGTATTGAAATTTGATAGAGCAGGACTAATTTTATCTTTTTTTGTTGGTATTGGTATACATAGGATGGTTCAAAACTAAGCTTATTTTGGTATGGAGGTAGTACCTAATCCATTCTTCTTATATTGGTTCCCACTACAAGTATTAAATGGCGAAACTATTTTAAACTCTCGATCAGATATCCTCTCATTGTTTGCATATCAAATAGTTGTACAAAAAATTAAAAAAAATTGAGAAGATGAATTAATATATGATATATTGTTGTACAAATATGCAACTCAAAATTCAACTTCTACATGTAAAAAAAACAATTTAAACATAAATTAAATTTTAAGTTACATGTCTGTGTAGTGATATATCACATGTTAATACATCTTCTAAAAAAATTATAACTATTTAAGTGACACACAAGCAATGAGAAGAAGTCTCTAGTTTAAAATCCACTATCGCACTGACTCTCATGAAGCAAGCTTTAGGTTAAGTCACATCACCATCACGTGTACTCCCTCCGTTCAAAAAAGCCCAATCTAATATAGAATGAGACATAATATAGTACAACGAAACTGGACAGGAGTCTGACCAGATTCGTTGTGCTAAATTATGTCCCATCCTAAATTATATAGGTTGGGTTTTTTGGACGGAGAAAATATTTATCGCATTGGAGCAGTCAGATCAACAGATCAACTGTCATGTCTGTTTAAGAAGCATGCGTGCATTTCCCATTCCATAGCCATTCAGAACTACTCCCTCCTCCTATTTTAAGTGAAGCCATAAATTTTCGTGTTCAATACTATCTTATTTCAAAAATATATGAAAAAATAAAAAAAAACATAAATCACGCATAGAATATTATTCATGTTTTATCATATAATAACAACAAAATTATTAATTATAAAAACATTTAAATAAGACGGATGATCAAAATTGAATATGAAAATTTATGGTTACGTTTAAAATGGGGCGGAGGAAGTAACTAAGTAATAAATGATAGCATACCTGTAGGACTGTTGGTTCAGGTTCATGCACCCCCGACACACGCTCATCGTGCGGAGCACGATCATATTAATGCATGCGACATGGTCGTACCGGGTGTGAGTGACCGTGTGACGAGTAGGCTCTTGTTAGACTTGCAGTGAAACATATGCTGCGGCCTTGCTGGGAGCTCGCAATACTGATAGAAAAATAGCTTTATAAAAGGAAAAAAAAATTCTCTTTACTACACTTCGTTGCTGGGAGCTCGCAATACGATTTCAGGGATAGAAAATTAGCTTTATAAAAGGAAAAAAAATTATCTTTACTACTGCACTTCGTTACAACCATATTCTCTCTTTCACCACCAAAAATTTACTATTATCTCTTTTACCGCTAGTATTAGTATTGATCCCCTGCTTGGATATTGTAACATTTTTTCTTGATCCCTCCTATACTCCTACTCCTTTAATTTTGCTTGGATACTGTAACATCCCTTCTATGATCACTTCCACTCCCTCCCAACCCATACATACCACCTACTTACAGTTTCGTCTTCTCTTTTGATAAAAGGGTTAACCAGAAAGTGGTATGGTTGAAGGGAAGAGATCTTATAAGCTGATTCCGCCCTTTCTAAACTAGTAAGGTGGTACTAAACATGTACACATGGCTCTTGGGCCTCATAGGCCAAATTCTAAATGGCCCAGAATATCACATATATCTTCTGTACGTCTACCGTTAGAGCTTCGTTAAATCATTAAATCAGTGTGTATTAAACCAATGTGTACGTATATACTTTGTATAAATAAACTTTGTATCATATCGATATTGTAAAAAAAACGTATACATACATATATAAATATATACATAAGAGACTAGAGGAGGAAACCGCGTGGGGCGTGCCCCCGCACGACTGAGCGCATATTATGTGCCCCCTACACATATCGTCCTTATTTAAATTTATATGACATGGAAAGCATTTAGAAACAACAGCAAATCTCGACATTTTACATATTGTTACCGGGAGAAAAGACCTCATTAACCATCCTATCTAAGTTGACCCATGAGGTTCCACTAGGCACCACAGCCATGGCTGCCCTTTCCTTCCATTCCGTGGCACGCTGCCTCACCTCCTTGCCTTTGATCTCCTCTTCCATCACCTCCCTCACCATCCTCGCCACCTCTTCCCTCTCGATGTCGTCGCCGACCTCCACACCGACGCGCCACTCCGTGCAAGCGTACCGGCAGTTTGTCTGCTGATCGGCGGCCATCGGGTAGCACAGCATGGGTACGCCATTGGAGATGCCCTCGAGTACCGAGTTCCACCCGCAGTGCGTCAGGAACGCGCCGATGGCGTCGTGCCGGAGCACCGCCTCCTGCGGGCACCAGCTCGTCAAGTAACCCTTCCCCTTCGTCTTCTCCACGAACTCGGCTGGTAGCACGCCGGTGGGGCCGTCGCCGCCGGTGACCTTAGCTTGGTCGTCTCTGATCACCCACAGGAAGTCGTGGCCGCTGTCGGCCAGCCCCCATGCTAGCTCCACGAGCTGTGTGCTCGTCAAGTACACGATGCTGCCGAAGTTGACGTACAGGACGGAGCACGGGCGCTTGCGGCCGAGCCACTCGAGGCACCCACCGTCCTCCGGGCAGAGGCTGGCGGCGCTCAGGGCCGGCGTGTCTGGCGGGTCGGCGCCGGAAGCGACGACGTGTGATGCGGCGGTGAGCTGAGGGAGCGGGCCGACCGTGTAGATGGGCGGCAGGATGCGCGACATGGCGGCGACGACCTCGCCCTCCAGCGCGTCGAACGTGTTGAGGATGACGGCGGACGTGGCGGTGCGCAGGCACTCCATGGTGGACACGACGAAGGCCAGCACGGGGTCGTCGGTGTCCGTGGTTCGGACGAAGGAGAAGAAGTCGCGCAGGCGCATGTCCGCCGGCATCCCCGGCACCCAGTCGACCACCGTGCTGTCGAGGTAGCCATTGCTCAGCTTCTCAGCGTCTGCTCTTCGAGACAAGATCGATAGAAGTACTCGAGTAATTAACAAGATGCATCAATGGTGATGGAGAGTTGGAGTCCATGTCGTCTCGTACCTTTGAGTGGAATGATGCCTCTGTCGATGAGTTCCTTGCATTGGAGGAACGCCATGAGCCCGCAAGCGGACGTCGTCCAGAACGCGACGGCCGGGAGGCCCATCTCCCTGGCAGCGAGCAGGACGTGGTCGACGTCGGAGACGACGCAGGTGGCCGGTGCCCCCGAGGCGGCGGCCTCGTCGAGGATCTTCTTCAAGTGCGGGACGCAGGCCCCGATGGAGAAGAGCAGATCGCGGGGGTCGGACGGGCCGTCGTCGTCGTCATCCGACGGCAGGCCGTCGGGGACGGCGGCGAAGCAGAACCCCGGGGCGCCGGCGGCGAGCGCGCCCTCGCCGTGGGAGCGGATCACGCGGCGGCGGTTGCGCTCGGAGTGGACGAAGGTGACGCGGACGCCGCCCCTGGCGTGGAGGAGCTTGGCCAGGTGCAGCGCCGACGCGACGTGGCCCTGCACCGGGTACGGGAAGAACACCGCGTGGGCTGGCGACGCCGTCGGCATGGTCGATTGGACGGAGAAAGCGCGAGGTCGATCCGGTCTCTCTCCCGGTGGAGTTCAGGAGGTGTCTATCCACACATGAATGAATGCACGCGCCAGGTAGCTGGGACTTCGCTGCATGTGCACACACGATGATGAAATCGTCCCGTGGTTGCTGTCGAGTAGTAGTTTTTATATTTTGTACTGAAAAAAAAAATGACATGCGTTACAACGGGTGAATGCTATTTTAGTCTAATTCACTATGGGAATTTACTTTATATTTTTTTTACAATATCATGAGCTGTAATTAGAAAGTCTAATCAATTTAAGTTAGCATAAAAGTTTTTTAAAGAGATTTCTTATGCGACTCCTTCCGTATTTCTAGAAATGAAAGAATTTAAAAACCAACTCAAATATGTATATGTATTTTTAAAAATAATTAAACTTCAAAACCGACTCAAACACGGACGACGTAGCAAATTACCGGTAAAAACATCTTTAATTTTTATAATAGTAGAGATATCGATATAGATTGACACCGTACAAAATGCTTGTGGGCCCTTTGCATGCGCAGTAACCTTTTGTTTCTTTTACAGAAAAAGGGGGCATTTATTTTGTATACTTGAATAGGTATTAAATATGAATTGAGATGAGGGAGGAAAGGTAGAGAGAGTTTTTGATAGAGTAGGTCAATTTGGCCCAGGAGAGAATCGAATAATAGGTGTAAAAGAAGGAGGATGGTGGGAATCGAATAATAGGTGTAAAAGAATGAGGATGGTGGGAATCAAACCATGGTGGCCTGAGTGGAGACTTGCTTCCTTAACCAGATAGACAGGCTGTAACTTGTGCTTAGTGATTACATGAAAAGGTACATATTCTATATCAATGGTCCGACCTGACTATTAAACGGATTAAAATGGATTAAATGGATTTTAGCGAGGTGAGTGGGATGACGGATTAAAAAACATACCCGGAAACCTTACTTATTTTATAATTAGGTATAGATATGACAGCCCGCATATTTCTAATCAAGCTCGTGTTTCAGCTAGACATTTTTTTTATCGAAATGCCGTATTTATAATTCCGTAATCTGAGAGGTTGTTTACTCTACCACTCTACGTATGACATTACTTCTTATCAACTTAACTAGCTAGCTAGCGTTTGGTTAATACCATAACTATAATGTATCATATTTTTGGGGAAATTGGGTCCACTGGAACTAGGTGATCATTGATCAAATGTGGTAGGTAGTAGGGTGTGGCACCCTTTTATCGGGGCAGCCGACCCTAATAAAATTTTATAATTTCTTATCAAAATACTATTTATATTTGAATTTGGCTTTACATCACTTACGGCTCTTTTGGATTGTAGGATTTTCATAGGAAAAATTGAGGATTGCAATCCATAGAAATTTTTCTTACACATGCCATTTGGAACAAAGGATTTGAACTCACCAAATTCCTATGGATTGAGTTCCTATACACCAATTCCATTGGAAAATAGACAATGAGCTCTAACCTCTTCTTTTTTTTTCTATGGGAATATGTGAATGATGTAAATTTTGTGATGCATATGTGCTGAAATGGGGAATATGTGATATTGGGGTGCCTGGCATATATCTGTAATGCTTCTGTTTTTCAGATGACATGGCTAGCAAATCTTGAGGCCAGCCAATATTTTGAATTTGCTTTTTTTAAAAAAATTTCACCTCATCACTGACGAGTCATAACAAAAAGCCATTACAGGTGACCTCATTTGTGACGGCTTTGATACTAGACCCCGTCAAAGGTCATATACCTGTGACGAGCCGAATATAACGCACCCGTCAAGGTAAGTTACCTGTGACGGGTTGTAACCTTGCATTGGGGTGTATTACGATTGAATTTAGCACTGCGCAGGATTATATCACTGTACCCATAGCTACTCTTAACATGTTTGACTGTCGCACTTCACTAGATGCAGCACCATGCCAAGAGTATAGAACTTTTCTCCTACTTCAATTTACTACACTCCACGTTTGTGTTGAGCCTATCAGCTCTCCATACCAGCGCAGTACTACATGCGCCTGGAATGCACTTTATTGACATTCATAGGGTTTATATCATCTCCCATCCTACTACTACGTAACCATGTGAAGCATAATAAACTTGATAAGGTACTAGGTTTAGCCCGTCTTAAGATGGATCTATGGTCGACACCGTATATAGGGTTCTCTTATACAAGTGAGGGGGTGATTAGTCCCTTATATTTATACACCATATATAGAGAGCCCTGACTTGCCATCATTATCAATCATCACATCCCTGAGCTCCCCCCCCCATCCACCATACTAATATCCCGTCGATCTCCATCATCGGTTTGCCAATCATATCATCATAGTCAATGTTATTATTAAAAAAAATATAGTTCGATGCAATACTAGGTTTTTAAGTTGAAATAGTATCATCTATCAACATGATCAAAACAGAGACTTGCCTGAGTTTATGTAGTTGGAACCAAACTCTAACCTTTTTCATGCATTTTATCTATTATTATATACTAAAAGTCCATTAAACTTTCTACAAACGCTTCTAAGCCGCCACATGGCTCCTACAAACGCTCCAATACCACCACGTGGCGCTCTAACAAATTATAGAAATTCCGAGAAAAGAAACAAACATCTGACCATGGATTTTCACTTAACACGGTGGACCCATCGTTTCACACCATTAGATGTATCTTATGTTAAAAAAAAAAAACCCACCCGTATCCCCTCCGTCACATACATACCCAACGTGTACCGCCCCCCCCCCCCCCCCCCCCCCGGGAAAGACTGGTTGGCGAACGTTCGCCGTTAGCTTCTCTCACGAATGGGTTGAAGACGGGAGATCGTTATGTGCTTTTTTTTCATTTTTTTTTCGTACGTTATTTCCGTAAGTCTTCATCTCATCGGTTTTTTATTTTTCTTTTTTTTTCTCGTACGTTTTTCTTGCAACCCATGATATTAGCGGCTTTCTGTTTTTTTTCTTCAGATTCTTTTCAGATTTCCTTTTTCCATTATAGTTTTTTCTAACTGGAAATTTTCTATATGAACTATTTCCGCGAAAAATTTCCACCTATAGACCTTTTATATAAAAAGTTTATATATATAAATTTTATGTAAAAAAGTTTATATATATAGATTTTATATATATAAAGTTTATATATAGAGATCTTATGTATATAAAGTTTATATATAGAGATAGATTTTATCTATATAAACTTTACATAGATATTATATTTGTAAATAGAAACTTTACTGGATATTCATTCCAAACAAACTGAAATCCGAAAAAAGATAAAAGCATATGCACGAGTTAGTTATAACTAAAACGAAAAAATAGGTGAAAATAATTAGGTGTGTGATTTTTTTTTCTTGCGTCATTAGAGACGTGATTAAGAAAGGATGAGGATTTGTAACTGTTCGCGTGATTCTCTAGTCGCGAAGGTTAGCGAACTAGGCCCAACCCCCCCCCCCCCCCCACCACCACCTCGTCTCTCCTTTCTTCCATTTATAGGAAGCAAAAAATTTTATATTAAAAATATTAATCTATTATATAGTAAAAATCTATTAAACTTTATAGAAACACTCTTAAGCCATCACGTGGTGATCTTACAAATACTTATACGCCGTCACATGACACTGTTTAATCTCACCGTCGATTTTCACTTAAATTGGTGGATCCGATATTTTATATCATTAGATTAGATGTATTACTTAAAAAAACTAATAATTTCCTCACGTATATTGTGGGCCGGAATAAGAAACCAAACAAAATACTCCGTGTACGTACGTACGTACGACTGGAAAATAAAAGATGAAGCTTTACCTACTGTTCATAGGCGAAAGAAAACATACGTACGGACTTACGATAAAAACGATAAATAAAAAAAACATACGTACGTAGTGCCATTGAAAAAATACGATGGGTACCCACGAACTATTATGGTCGACCGAATTACCCCCATAAACCCGAAAGCCACATATATTTCACTCTCAACTATTAATACCGGACGAATTACCCGTTGTCTCAACCCGGAGTGGTTTTGATCTTACGTGGCAGTCCAGTCAGCATTTTCTAAAAAATAAAATTGGTGGGACCCACCTATCATATCTTCCCCTCCCCTTCCCCTTCTCTCACTTTCTTATCCCTCCACGTCTGTCAATCAGCAAGGCTGGTGTCAACAAGCGGCAGGGCAAAGGAGCAGCGGCGGAGGCGGCTAGGGGCGACGAGCAGTGGAGGCGGCTCCTCCTCAGCATCAGTCAGTGCGCGCCTACTTGACGGCCGCGTGGCTTCTCCACGGCCTCCACCAGCACGTGAAGAGGACAACAACAGTGGGGCGGAGGAGCTTGAGTGGCGGAGGCGGCGAGCGGTGGAGGCGGCTCCTCCTCGACTATCTCAACTGCCACATGCGCACTCCGATGGATGCCGTCGTGTAACACCCTGAAAATTCGACCAACGAAATCAAAACACCAAAAATACGGATTTTCAAAAACTTTTTAAGTAATAAATTGCATCATGCCGATTTTATTCGCCTATTTCATTGGATTTTGATCTCGGAATTTATTAATCGCGAATAATGAATAACTAACTAGGAATAAACCCTAAAAATCAAGTTGGCTAAATAAATAATTAAAATATAAATTAAAATAAAGATTAGGTGGGATTGGAAATAAATAAAATATTATCGCGACCATATTAGCAATAATTAAATTTTAGTACGATGGAATGAGAATTAACCCTAATTAAAAATTCAAATAAATTATATAAACAAAATATGAGTGATATTAAATTAGGGTGAATTTTTAGTTAGGATAACACAAATATGGAGTAAACTTCATTTATGCAAAAAATTAGAATTTATAGGGCTATATTTAAATAGAAAATGGGCTAAAATGGGATAAATAGGAAAAGTTACTGTTCATTGCGGCATAGGTGTTCGATCGTGGTCCCCCTAGCCCCGCCCCCTCCCCTGCCGCGTGCGCCGCGTCGCCCCCCGTCGCGCGCGCCGCCGCCGCTGCCGCGCTGTCACCGTCGCGTCGCCGTCGGCCTCGCGCCTCGAGCCGCCGCGCGCCCGTCCCCTCTCGCCTGCGCCCCGCCGCGCGGCCGTCCCCTCGCCGTCGCCCTGCGCCGCTGCCGCGCCGCCCGTTCCATCGTGCCGAGCCCCGTGCCGCCGCGCGCGTCGCGTCGCCCCGCCTGTCACGCC